GAAAGGACCGAGCCAGACAGGCAGGTTTTTAGCTGTATGGCCTTTGTAAACGTTTTATCTCCTTCTGCCTGCTGATCTGCTTGATTCTTGTGATGCCATCTCGTCGGTAACCCCTGAGTTCAATAGGGCAGTCCTAGCTGAGGGTGGGGAAGGGAGAAAGAAACCTTGTAAGACAAGGCAGAGGAGATGAAAACTTTTAGGCTTCATATTTAGTGAAAAATAATGGACGGCAAAAAAAAAAAAATTACAAATGATGGGGTATTGTTCCTTTTTTTTTTTTAATATAATATAGCACACGAAACTTCTGTTGGTTAAATGTGTTACTGCATCAGAATCGGTAAGGGTTATATAAATATGAAAGGGAGAGCAAGGAGAACGTGCCCTGCGGTAAGCTTGCATGTTTGTAAACTGTTGAGAGTTCAGACAAGAGGCAGTTACAGTTTTACTGCCGCTGGTTCTATGCAAACAGCTGTATTTACTCACATTGGCCACGTTCCCATAAATCACTTTGTGGCTAGCGTCATTATACTCCAACAAAGATTATATTTCCAAGCTAAGTTGGTGATGACAGTTCCAAAGCTTGACAAATAGGCTTCTGTTTTGGGAGGTATTTCTCCAACTGAAGTGTGAAAAGGTCTCTGCCATGATGCACATACTGTGATCAGCTTCTTTTTTCTGCCATATGTTTAAAAGGATATTAGTGGCTTGAAGGAGTTGAGGTTTGTGCTCCTTATCTGTGTAATTATAGACAGAAAGCATTACTGTCGATTTTTGACATAAATAAAGTGAACAATGAAAGCAGATTAAAAAATAAGTCATATCAACTAAGATTGGCAACAGTGATTGAAAAGAAGATTTGGAAAGCAAAAGGCATGGGGCTTCAACAGTATTGGTAACAACTGGGAAAACTACTGTGTGTGACTAAATGAGTTCTGTTTCCTTGTGTCTGGAAAGACTGGGTTGTTTGAGGTTTTAAGCTTTGGCAGTAGCTCCATGATCCTTCACAGTTTTTTCTAGCCACATACTGAAGACATTTCTAATATATTACTTGATTATTTTTTTAATAGCATTGCAGATCAAAAAGTTGTTTCTTTTTGGATTCGTGCTCGAGGTGCTCAAATAGTGGCCTCTTGCCTTCTGAGTCAGTTTGTTGAACTATTGATAAAGCAAACAAACTGGACAGCATAATGTTACCAAAAGAGGAGTGTAGCTCTAGAACGTGTGCCCTTGGCAGGAATGGAAGGAAAAAGCTGCTTGCAGTCAGGAATTTGTAATTGCGTTGTAACAGCAGTTGTAATTGTCAGAGACAACACAGTCAAGATGTCATATCTGTCAAAGACGACTTCTAGAAAAGGAGCCTCTGAGTGACCAGTGGCTTAAATCCAGATCCTGCCAAAGCAAAAGGCTTGTCATCGCTTCCCTTCGACTTTGATCTATAACTGCATGTTTCTATTCTGTGTCCCAGATGTTCCTATACACGTGTATGTCTGAAACGTCTGTGGGATGGGACTTTAAACTTGCTCTAATTAGCCTGTTGGAATTGTCCGGCCTGCTGTGGTAATGTGGTAGGGTTGTAATACATCAGATTACAGCTTCACACCAGCTGCTAGTAGATTAACTCTGTTTTGCTAATTGAGCTGCTCTGTGAGGTAAAAGTTATTTTTGAGTGTGGCTTCTTCATTTTGGTTGCATGAGGTAACAGGCTGGGACAGTGAAGACCAAATCTTTTATATGTCACGTTAAGCACAAGAACAAAGTGTGGAGAACAACATTTTAATTTGCTCTTTGAGAGATTTGTTTTTACTTCTGAGGCTTGCCAAGAGTTGACTAGACTTGTTGAGTTGCTGTGACATAGTGGGTGACTTTACCTGGAGCTTCAAAAGAGGGATTTTGGTTGATTATGCTCCCTCTTGGATGCCTTTCTGTTTTGGATGCAGCATCAAAATAATACCGTGCATTTTTTCTTAAACACTCTGGTAAGCTCTGACTTTGTGCTTTTACCTGGTTAATAAGGCAGTCTTCTCCCTACTCTTCCTCCTCCCCTGACAGAGTATTAGTACACAGATGTCCTGAAAACTATGTCTTCTTAGACCTGATCTGTAGACTCATGCTTTCTTACATTAGGCCTGATTTTTGACTTATTTTGTTTATGCAAAGAACTAATTTATTTATTTTTGTTGTGCCCATTTAAGAAGGTAATTTTTCAAAAAAGGATATTGTTTTGCAGATCATTTCTGTAACATTTGTATCAAAGGCTTGATTTTGCATGGCAACCCTTTAATACAAGATAGGAAATGACAGAAAAGGTTTTCAGCAGTAATTATTCAACATACTGTAAAGCAGTGCTCAAGAATGATACTTTGAAACTGCAGTTGCCCTAGATAGGTATATTGTAAATAACATCTTCAAGAGGTAGAGGCAGAGAAGTTGCCGCTGTATGTGATAACATTGTCCAGGGTGAAACCTTTGATGATGATATTTTGTGACGCAGTCTCTTTGGCAGTAAGCTAATGTGCGTGGAAATGCTGAGTTTACTCAGATGTTTTCAATATGCTTTTTCTTACAGTTCAGTGCAGGAATCTTACCAGTTTAAATGTTCGGCATTGCAGATGTGGTGAGGGTGTAGCTCTTGATATGTATACAGCATAAGATAAATCTATCACTGGACGTCAGTCATAGCAAACATTAATAAACTGTGCTTTTGTTTTACTTTTCAGTTACAAAGGCCCATTGTTAGATGATGGAGCGCTGGCTCAGGCAGTCTCTCGTGGAGCCAGTTCCCCTGAATTCACCAAACTCTGTGCTTGGTTGGTATCTGAGTTACGGCTGTTCTGTAAACTAGAGGAAAATGTGCAGGCAACTAACAGTAAGTAGCCATAACTCTAGCACAAATGTGCGCTTAATGTGTGTTCTTGCGTGCTATAAAGATTTGGGCTGGCAATTGCTAAATCTGTTGTACCAGGGAGTATTGTCTGCATGCTGTCCGATTTTGGATATTTTCCACCTCAAACTTGCCTAATGAACAGCCAGTAGAGGTTGAAATAATAGTGAGGATCAAACGGTCTTTGTTCTGAAGTTAGCTTTTTCTTTTAATTGTTCAACCGTAGATGTTTTTTTTAAAATTATTGGATGGATTTAAGGAAACATTAGTGAGTTTTTAAAATGAGATCATGAGAATACTTTTATTTCAACACTTTTGTTGTAATTTTGATGTAAGAAATACCTACTGTTCAAGGAGACATTCTCATGACTACAGTAACTGTATTTTCTTGTTATTGTTGGTTACCTTAACTCTGTGCTTACTGTGTATTTTTACCTCTTTATGAAACAGTCTGTGAGAAGGAGCTTGAAAATGTTTGTTTGTTTATCATTTTGGTGGAGGAAGTAAACCTTAGTTTTCCAAAAATGTTGGTTTTGGTCAACTCATCATGACATTCTACAGATTAAATTGTTAAATTGGTATGCTAACCTGTACTTCTGAATATCTAATATTAACTATTAACTCATAATGCCTTTATGAGCTTAACTTTCAATCTACTCAGTGGCCAAAGATTGCTGCCTTTCATCTCAACATCTGTTCTTTTCCTCTTTCTCTCTGTTTTTGACATGTCCATCCTTTCTTCTTTGAGTGTATTTGACTCCCTTTCTCTCTAACAATGTGGCATCTCACCTCTTCTAGTAGTATAAGATTCTTACTATACGTTTTGTGTAAAAATACAATCCAGAAGTATTCTAACACCTACTTCAAATTCTCTGAACACAGTGATAGAAACATTTTATCTTTAGTACCATCAAATCCTACCTTCATTTTGTGTGACTTGAATTTATAAACAACAGACATTTTGGGTTGAAGTCCCTTTTCAAAAGAAGAAAAACTGTTACCTCTCATTAATCACATTTTTTTTTATAACTTGGTTTAACAAATTCAGATTAGTTTAACTAATTTCTGACACAAATATCAGTCTAAGCTGTGGTTTACGTAACTTTAAAGGATATCAGTATGAAATAAGATCAATTGACAAATGGGATCTTACAGAGAGAAGTAGTAAAAACATGAGTGCTCCTAAACCATATTATTCATTACTTTACAACAACTATCTAATACATTTGTAGTGGGAAGAGTTAGCTGATACTTAAAATACCCCTGTAAAATTTGTCATGTTTTTAACATCACTTTTCATTGTAGAAGTTGCCAGTGGCTGGCTGTTGTAGCTGGGAAAAGCCGTCAGTGAAATGTAATTTTACAATAATGAGGAATATCATGGCTCCAAGTAGGTTGTGCTCTGTCTTTGAGAAACCCCCAGAACGCATTTGCCTTCCATTAAAAGCAGATTTTTAATGTTAAATAGGCTCTGGAGCAAAGCATCTTTTTTTTTTTTTTTAATTAACTTATTCTTTCTAATCATAGCCAGAGATATATATGTTAGCTGTAAACAAATTGTTATTCTTTTCCTTCTAAGGTCCAAATGAAGCAGAAGAATTTCAACTCGAAATGAGTGGGTTGCTGGCTGAAATGAACTGTCCATATGCATCGTTAACATCAGGAGATGTGACAAAACGCCTTCATAATCAAAAGAACTGTCTCTTGCTGCTTAGTAAGTTAAAAGGGTGCTTGCAAGCAAATCTGGTTTTGTGCAAGGGCCATAATGTTGTTCCTTACGCTTAATGAGATACTGTTTTGTTTACCACAATATATAAAAAGTTACCTAAAGTTATGAATTGTTTTTCCCTGTAACTTACAGTGTCAGAATATTATACTTTTGGGTGTCATAAACTTACCAGTCACTCTGTAACCAGTATACTCAGAATATTTTCATTCATATTAACCTTTTTCACATTCACTAGCAAAAAGCCTGTCCAATTAGTTCTCAAAAGGTACTCCGAAGAGGGAGTAATTTGAAGATTTCGGCCAGGTTTTAGCCTCTGAACTTTGTTTAGAAGGGTTATAAAAATGACACTGACATCAGATACCTCATCATTTTGGAGCCCCCACCATGATGACTTGTGAGGTGCAATAAGACTTGCATTGTCCTACACTGACAACAACTGGAATTGTGAAAAAGAGAAAATGTTTTATCCTAATTCCTAGTTCTTTTGAACATCTCCCTTAGTAAATAGCTTCAATGTTGCTTTCTGATAATTGAAAAGAAATTAGCGGTAGCAACGGTGATGTCTTCCCTTTGCTTTTTCGCTCAGCAGATCTCAGTGCCTAAATTGGTTTTATTCCTGCTTAGGAAATGTTAGAGGAGAAGAAATAGTACTTAAATTTGGAAAAAGTGTGTGGTGCTGATTCACATTTTTAAAAAAAACAAAATATTTTTACATCTGTCAGAGTTAGAAAATGTAATGCTAATTTTAATCTGATCTTAAATTCAACATAAATTAATGTTTTATTTGCTTCCTCAGTTGCTGCCGATTCTTTAACTTTTTAAAAGAGAAATTTAGTTCTACCCTCAACTGAGATGTAAGAAATGAATTACAGAGTAGGTTCCTGTATTTCAACAGTAGGAGAAAGATGAGTAGTGAGATTTAATCTGAATTTGTTTGGATAGTATGTTCAAAAATGTCAGATGAAGTGAGGTAATTATTGCATTTAAAATACTTTGTAGCTCAAGCAATCTGCCCTTCAGCTTATTCTCGGTAAGCTAAGCCATTCAATAAATTTGGCTTGTCTGTGACGCACAGTTTATGCCAGAGGTCCTCTGTGATGTACGTTTTGGTAATATAAGGCCATGTTCAGAAGCTGAACTCTGGTATCCCATCTGGCAGGAATACTATGTTTACTGTCAAATGTGGAACTGAAATAGATGTCAGACTCCTTTTTTGTGTACCATGATAGTTGCATAGCTTTCTTTACCTACATTAAGCTAACTTATTAAGTATCCTATTGTATGTGAGCCATAAACCCAGATTTTTTCAGGCGAAACAGAATAACCCTCTTTAATGGAATACCAGGGTATTTAACATTTTAACGAAGTGCAGCACAGTTTATGTCAATTGGAAGATGTAGCAGTATTGCTGGGAGAGGAAAGCACCAAATAAACGTAAGTAGTTAGGATTGTCTTGGTGTGCAGCATCACTAGAATACAATATGAAGTCCTGGCATCTGCAAAAATAAAAGGCATAAGAGTTTCAGGTTAATTCAGAAAAGGTCTGCGAAAAGAATCACTGTCTGGAGATCATTTATGTCTTACAGTGATAGACTTAAAAATTTTGGTCTTTGTCAGAGGAGGTTGAAGGTAGCTTGAATGTGATCTCTGAATTCTTGAAACAAAATTCTGCTGCTAGTTTCTTTTTCAGGAGTTCCTAATGGGATGTAAATAATTGAAAGTTGAATGTAAGAAAAATCTGTATAAAGTACCATGAAAGAACTTACAAAGGATTCTTCGCTGCTTTACATATTTTAAGGATTTTGTAATTTATAAGGTGTTCTTTGTCTTCAGCAGAAGACATTCTAGAGATCTAGAAGAAATTCTAGAGATCATGAAAATACTTTGTTCTTTTCTTAATTTTTTGATCTGTCCCAATTTTATAGGTAGTGAGCTGCTTTTGTGTAGCCGTGGGTTTACATCCCTGCTCACAAGTCTGTCTTTATCAATGCAGTATCTATTTTTCAATCCTTATTTTTACAAATAATTGTTTGCGTTACTGTCATGGTCACCCAGTATGATTCATGATACAAGTATTGTTAAACCTGTGCATTTTTTTCAATTTAAACTTTAAAGTTGTGACAATTGCAAGCAAAGGTTGTGTGCTAAATTTGTATCACTGTAGCTGACACCTAATGGTGAAATTTTGGGTGTATACCATGTTCAGAAATTGTGATTTTCATTTTTTTTTGTTTGATAATGGGATGGTAGGCTTTTGCAGTTCTGATATTGAAGAGTACTGCAGGCATTCTGTCTTCTGTTTCATCAGTTACTGCCTTCTCAATAGTACTTTTAAAAATGGGGCTGTTTTTCCACTCTGCATCTTGCCTGGGGAGGTAGAGGGGATTCATCCAACACTTCACTTCTCTCTACTGATTTCTTTACTTTGTTTCCTAGAACCTCAAGGAGTTGCTTGCTTGTGTAGCTTAAAGTGCATATCCCAGCCCCTCATCCTGCTTATTTCCATGTTCCTAGTCTCCTGTCTTTGCTGGGCAAAGCCTGAAGGAAAAGAGCTGTGCTCTGTTGGACTCTGTGATTAATACCCATCGGAATCATAGGGATTTTTTCCAGGCTTTAATTGGTTGTACTAAACCTTTCCCTTGTTTGTTGTGTTTCTAGCATTGGGCTCAGGGATTATTAGAAATAGGAGTGTTCTGTGGATACCAAAATTATAGCCCTCACTCTTTCTAAAACAGTCCATTTGCACGTTTGTTGGTTGTAAGCACTTGAGTTCTCACTAGTTCTAAAATAATTTCACTCGGCTATATCTGATGATGAAATCTAATTTTTCTTACCCCAGCATACCTCATCTCAGAACTGGAAGCTGCCAGAATGCTGTGTGTGAACGCCCCTCCTAAAAAAGCACAGGAAGGAGGTGGCAGTGAAGTCTTTCAGGAGCTAAAAGGCATATGTATTGCTTTAGGCATGTCCAAGCCTCCAGCCAACATAACGATGTTCCAGTTCTTCAGTGGAATTGAAAAAAAAGTAAGATCCAAAGGAACAAAACTAGAATATTTATGATGTTACTGTTTTGATGGAAAATAGTTCTGCTGCCAGGGAGAGATTTGCCTCTTGTGAAACTCCAGTGTTTGAATTGTGAAGGAGAGTTAACATGATTTACTGAGTATGCCAAGAGTCAGGATTTTGAAAATTAATTTAAAGGCTTTTTCCATGCCAAGGCACGAGGTCAGGGACTACTGCTGTCATTGCCTTCCGGGGTGAGGTATTTCTTACTCTGCTCTAGGTTTTAATGTCATCAGCTGTTGCAGAAGATACGGAAAATGCTGAGCTTAGGCCTCAGGAAGAACGTTAAGGAGAAGTGTGTTCCAAGAAATACACCTAAATGAAATTCTACAGGAACCTACTGTTTTAAAAATGTTTAGGTTAAAAGGTGGTGTAACTAAAGTTAAGTTTACACCTTTTCCCTAAGGCATCATCAGTTCTTGTGGTTCCATTTATTTTTGTTCCTTCACGTGTACGTGTTCTCCGGGTTGTTGTGGTTTGTTTTTTTTTTTTAAAGACATTTACTTTTCTTTGAGTAATTTTTATAAAGCAATGGAATAAACTTTCTAGTGCACAGACCAAAGGTGGGGGACAGCAAGTTTTTAAGTTACATTACTTAATCTGACTTGCAAGATAGGGAAGAGCAGAACAGCAGAAGAGAACCTTTGTGAACATTAAAGAACAGATATGATTACAATGCCCCCTCCCCAATACTTTCAGAGAAGTTTTTTTCAGTTTGGATTGACCTGTTGAAGAAGAGGAGGATGGTTTTCCAGCAGCAATCTAAGGTGTTGAATGGAAGCAATTTGTTTTCTGGTTTTGGCATTGTCATGGGCATTAAATAGTTAGATACACAAAGAAATCTGTGCTTCCATTTTCTAGAAAAGGTAGAGAATATTCATAACAATGAACAATGCTAGCAAGCTTTGCTGGTGAAAGAGACTGTATAAAAATACAGAATACAAAGTAATCAAAATCTTTTTAATCTGGGAATTCTGTTATGTTTTACTGATTGATTTTTCTTTTACATTGTCTTGCAAGGTTAAATGGATGTCATCTCAATGATTTACATCCATAGGTGGTTATACTAAAAAAAACCCTGAACACTCCTTATAACTTAATAAAATACATGAGGAATTTCTAACCTACTGAGTTTTTTAGAAATCATATATAGCTGTGGTGCTTGCAGTCCGAACACTTCAGATGTTGGTAGTATTTGAGAAGGAGAAAGTAAAGCTAATTACTACAAAACTTACTTCCCTTTGTAAATGAAAATACATCACAGTTGAGCAAAATGTGAAAACTTAAATAACAGAGTGAAAATTTTACTGTTGACTGGAAGATGATAGTTATAACAAGAGATCACCCTAAAGTTTTCTTGTTTTTAAAAAGTGAGCCTTAGAATGGCAGTGTTCTGATCTAGCATGTGAAAATCAAGCTACCTTTTTCTTCGCACATACATAGTACAGTTTGGAGTAGGATCTTTGTATAATTGACTCTCTTTGTTAATGATCCACCACATTAAAAAAAGAAACTGCTGATACTTAAATGAAGTGCTGCCTCTGCTATTCTGAAAGCACTTGGTTTTAAAATCTTCCAAGTTAAACAAATTGGGCTCAGCAGCTTTGGAAAACCAGGTCACTGAATATGTTAAATCAACTGCTGGAACAAACAGCCAAGGAAGTTGAAAAATGTGGTTTGCAGCAGTGGAAAAGTGAAGTTTCATAACTCAAACCTGCTTTGATCCAAGTTTTTGTTGCTGCCACTCCATTTCTTCCTCCTGAAGTCCTCAGAAATTTTGAGATGGGAAAGATAACTTAAGTTGTGCCCAAACTTTTAAAATGCAAGTTAAATTTTAATTTTCATATTGAGGATTTTCTCCTTTTGATTGTAAAGAGGAGTCCTTCTTTAGGTCGTGTTATGTTTCACATAGTCTTAATACAACCTTTTTGATACAAGTGTGATTTTTTTTCTGAATTAAAAAGATGATGTGTAGAATAATCCCTCTGTCTTCAAGGGGAGCTGTGCCTCATGGAATCTTTCTATTTTAACTGTAGATCTACTTTATAGTCCCTTCTCTTAGTTTTTTAAATAATTATAGCCAGGACTACCAGAAATATAAAAATAGTTGCTTTCCAAAAGAAGTGTGCTTGGTTCTCTGTCCCAGAGAAAACAACTTGATACTGGAGGTTGCTTTGTTGTGTCTTTGACTGTCCAAGAGTCCTCTCTTGTAATCTGAATCTTGAGAAGCTAATTTTTTTTAGCCAATGCTTATATTTTTATATGTCTCCTAACAGCTGAAGGAAACCCTAGCAAAGGTCCCACCTAGTCACGTTGGAAAACCTTTATTGAAGAAACAACTGGGACCAGCTCACTGGGTAAGTAGTTGCAGGTATTAGAGCCCATTTCCCTTCTTCAGGTATATAAAGTATTGATCTTGATTCTGTGTGTAATGTTGCTAAGTGGTTTTTCTCATCTCTTTCCGAAGATGAGAAGACAATTTCTTGCAGTATTTTACCTATATGTTGGTACAATAAATGTTCAGTAGCTGCTAAGAGCTTAGGCTCATGAATCTGTATGTTCAGATGCAGGCAAAAGTTTTCCAAAATCAAGGAGGTTTACAGTGGTGGTGCTGACCTGCATGCTTGTGCGTTAGCTTAAGCCTTTTTCTCCTGGCCCTTGCCAGCACTGTGCCTCAGCCTCGCTGAGACGGTGTCACGTTCCCTCCTGTGGCTTCTTTCCAGCTAACCTGTGGGTCTTCCCATCATTTCCTCTTCTCTTTCTGTCCTGTTGGAGTAGTCTGCTTCCTTCATGACCTCTTCTACAAGAAGCAGTGAGTGCGCAGGGGGAAGCTGGGAGAGGCCGCAGAGCCGCAATCGCCTCCAGCTGGGTTTTGTCACCTGCTGTTCTAGAAGGATGATGCCTGGGTTAGGTGCTGCTGCAGCAGCACAAAGCTGTGGCTACTGCTGCAACACTGCGAGTCTCTCTTGAGTCTCTTGCTTAAGGTTTAAACTCATCTACCCCCAACAGTCTGCTTCCTTCAGTGCTTGTAGTGTTGAGGCTGACAGTGGGCCCCACTGCCCCCCTCCAGCCAGGCTTCAGTCAATACATAAATTATTTCCTTCATGGTGCATATCTCAACTGTTGCTCTGACTAAACCACTGCCTGCTACCAGGTGTGTTTCTAGTGATGGCTTTTTCCTGTAGGGCATTTTGTTGTCTTGTCAGTATGCAGATTGTGCTTTAATCAAGATCCTCTTACAGTACTGTACTTACTTTTAGTCCTCTATCTTTGTCTTTAAGCTTACTACTTTCTAAGAAGGCAAGGACACCCTGGTCCCTAGGACTTACGTATGTCCTTGCATCTCCTTCAGCTTGTTGCGTGTAATATTTTCTCACTTTTGATTCTCTGTCCTGGTGGGTGTTGAGAAATGCCTCAGCAGTGCTTGTAGTTGTTACATTCCTTCCGAGAAACAGACAGCTGTGCTGTTAGAAATGGTAGAAGGCTGAATGTGAGGAAAACAGAGCCTTTGAAGCCTTCAGAAAAATAGTGTCAGCAGGCATAGCTTGCTGTGAGCCCATTTGACAAGGCAGATAATTCTGGGCCTAAGCCCTGCTTAACATCTCTGTGTGTCTTACTTTCTTCCATGTGTGGTTTCGCTTATCTTAAGTAGAAACATTGTATCTATAATCTATACGTTATGTTTGCAAATTTTTGTTTCAGGAAAAAATTGAAGCAATTAATCAAGCCATAGTCAATGAATACGAAGTCCGAAGAAAACTGTTAGTCAAACGTTTGGATGTTACTGTGCAGTCCTTTGGCTGGTCAGACAGAGCTAAGGTACAAAGTGAAGTCCTGGTTGGTGGTAATGCTTTATAATAAGTATCTCTGGAAAACTGCTTCATTGTTTCATCCTTCATGAGCAAGAAGTAACCACAGGAGTTGTCTGGTTTTTGTTTGAGTTTCTGAAGAATCTTACATTTATGACAATGTAAGATGATTAAAAATTTTGCTTAAAACTGATTTGCGGTACTTTAAAACAGTATGTCAAATGAGAAGATAGACCATGTGTAACACCCAAGCCAAAACATACAGTTAAATAGGCCACTAGAAAAAAACAGTAGAGGAGATACTGATCCAGCCATTTGCATTCAGGGTACCATAGGGTGAAACATTAAGTGTCTGATGGTAGAAAAGCATCTTCCTGTTGACCATCCCTTAACTTACTTTGTGCTGTCCACAGCGATCAGATTTCCTTAACTCAAAGTGTGTCTGCAAGCACAGCTCCACAGATGCACATGAGAAAAGCTGCTAAGGCACTACTTGTTCTTACCTCATAGACAGGGTAATATTTTATGTGCTGCTTTTGTCTTTGAACTGTGCAAGTGGCTGTGACATGACGTCTGTTCTCTCTGAGTATGCGATACATATTCTGCTTTTAAAAATAATTATATAGTTTCCCTATTTCCTATTTTTCATGGTGAAAAAGGAAAGACAAGATTTTAAAAATGGTACATATAATTTATTTTCTAGGACTAAACCATATCTGCTAACATGCTGTTAATTATGCTGCTGGCAGTGTTTGAGACTGAGTTAAACAGTGACACATGAATCATCAAGTGCCTTTTCTTGATAAATGATTTATTCCAAAAGCAACTGTATTTTAATAATAAGCTGACCTCTCCTCTTTTCTGTTTCATCACCTGAGTAGGACTTCTTCTGGTGGACTATCTCTTAAACCTTGTATTCTTCAGGGTTTTTAGTAGATGATTGAAGAACTATCTGATTGTTTGAATATTTTAATAGTGAATGAAAATGGGTGAAAGTATGGATTAGGTTAAAAAACAGGGACTTATAATTGTGTTATAGGTTTGGCATCCAAATCCATGTTTGTTTGTTTTTTTCCTAGGAGAATTCTCAGATGTTTGTAAACTTGACTAGCTACATGAAGTCCTTTCACAAAACCCACAAATTGTATATATGCATTTATATCTATTGAAATGTAAATCTAAATTTTTTAGGACCATAACAGTATGAAATGTGGGAGAATGTGGCTGTAGTATTCCACAGTATCTTTTAGCAATGCTTTAATACATGATGGTAATTTCTTTTTCCATTTTAAATTTCAAAAGTATTGGAATATAGTACTATAACTAAATAGTTACTTCTCCAGATAGTAGAAACACCAGTAAAAACTTTGTAGTCTTTTATTAGGGGCTTTTTAAGATCAAAACTTTCAAGTTTCACCTAAAAGAATAATACCATAGCACCAAAATACTGTGCTCGGAGCTCAGTCAAACTTGCCAGGGAAAAACATACTACTGCTCTGGTAAATACTGTTGCTTCTCCTATCTTTAGCCAGCCTCAGGTAAATGACATGCATGTTTTCCTTAATTTTTAATAAACCCTGTTCAACTTGTAATATAAAAGTAGAAGCTTTTGGTCCTACAAACTTATCACTGAGTCACTTGGAAATACGTACTCTCAGTTCTTCCCAGTTTCAGTTTTCTGCCTTTAGATGGAAAACAGGATTTTAGGATTTTAAAATTGGCTTCTAAGTTCTTGCCATGTCAAGAGATTTGTTGGAAGATCTGGTTTGCCTGTCCCCACTGCTGTCATCTGGGGTTCACACAAAAAGCAGCCCTTTTGTCTGTGTGCAGATTGCAATCTGGTTTATCCTAACTGCATCACACATTATACTCTGTTGATAACTGCAGATAGATGTAACTCATGTATTAACTCACGGCTGGTAGCTCAGATTTCTGTTGTGTCTGTCAGCTGGAAAACTGCTGTCATATTTTTGAGGTGTTCAAAAAAGCCAGTATGGTTAGTGCCAAAAGGCAGTAGAGGAAGAGAGATTGCATACAAGGCAAAATGGACATGTAGGATCTCATTTCTATCTTGGCACTACGTATGCGAGACAGAGGACTGAGTTAGAACAAGCACTTGAGAGCTTTAATTCTGGCAGTACCTCTTGATGGCGTGCTTTTGTGAAGAACCTGACTGGAATGAAGAGTGTGGAAGAGTTAACGGAGCTTTTTTCTGCTGTTACAGTGTTGGAGATAACGGTGATGCTAGCCTAACTGGAATGGGTGTGGGTCAGGGTGCAGGTGCAGAAGGAAGTCTGGAGGTTGGACGCAGACGTATTTCACTTTCAGTATCTGTTAGACATTAGCAGTAATTCATATAACTATATGCCGCACTTCTGTGTTTGCCTGAAAGTAATAAGGTCTGCATGTATAGATTGTTAATCTTCAAATTGTCAGAAGACCAGTGTCTTGGCAGTTCAGTTAGAACAGTGTTTCCTATATTACTTATGAAATTAAGTTGACAAATGCTAGCTTTGTTGCAGTGGTTCTTAGTTACAAAGTGGTTCTCACCGTTTTTGTATTAATTTTTGTTCTATTTGCAGTAGTGTCTTGTTCTTCAGTGTTGATTTGATTCTTTCGGTGAGGTGTCCCTTTGCTTTTCTATTACTTTAGCTGAATGGGTTTTGTTTTTCTTCTCTCCAACAGAGTCAAACAGAAAAACTGGCTAAAGTCTACCAGCCAAAACGTGCCCTCTTATCTACTAAGTGCACTATTTCCGTTGCAAATCTCTTGGCAGCTCGGCAGGATCTGTCAAAGATTATGAGAACAAGCAGTGGGTCCATCCGAGAGAAGACTGCATGTGCCATTAATAAGGTACCTTTGCTGACAAAGGGCTTGTTCTGTTATGAGTATTTAAATAATTGGAATGTAGCAATAGAGCCTACTTTTTTTTAGGGTTGTAAGTGGAATTTGAAAATAAAGGATAAGAAACTTGGTGTTTATGTACTCCAGATTATGCATCAGTGCATTATGGGAACTGCAGTTTCACCTGTTTAGGTCCAGAGTGCCCCTTCTTAGGGGCAGTCAAAAATTGCTGAAATATCTTTGGTTACTTTCAGTGGGAGTTGGCCTGCTCTGTCTTATCAGTTACTGGTGTCATTACATTGCTGCTACCTAATTACGTCACCGTGTCTAAAATAACACCTACATAGTAACCGTGTTTCTGGTCTGTGTAAGTAGAATATATTAAGATCACAAAGCAAAGATCTCAAATTCCCCTGTGTACACAAATAAAAGATTATAGTTAAGTGTGTAGTTTTAGTAATGCCATAGTAGGAATATGATTTAGACTAAGCAATTTACCTTGTTTCAAAAATTACGATATTACAGGAGTAATAGGCTCACAAAAGTACACGTGCTGCACTTGAAGCTCAGTAGCTAGGTGCAGCAGTGTACTTGATACTTTAAAATTTGTGGATGTTGCATGCATACTTTTCTGCCTTCTGGGTACGAACTGTATTTCAGATAAAATTCTAATCAATTTAGGATAGGATGGTGGTGTGCTGATTTGACCACACCACCTCCACCCCAAATAATTTTTGCAGCTTTTTAGTGTAGTTGCAGTGTGGAATGTAAGAAATTAAGTGGGAAAACAGGTGCAACTGTATCATCAGACCGTATGTATGTTTTACTACGAGTGCAGCACCGTCCTGCTGCTGATCCATATTCTGTGAACTTATCTCCATGATCAATATTAAATGTTTCCCAAGACAGTAACATAAAGTAACAAAGTAACCTGCTTCCATTGAAGTGTTTTTGTTATACCGCTTTAAAACTTGAAGCAGTGCAAATGTCCTGTCCTGGTTTAAGTCTTGCTAAATTCTTAATGTCACAGCATCCTTAGACAGCTGAAGACCTCTAGAGTCTTGCTCAACTCTGATCAGTGCTGTCTGACCCCTGTTTGTTGGTATGTAAGTTTTTGCATCTCCTTACTGAAAAATAAAAATCTTTGCACTTTGTTTACCAAGCCAATGGCTTCTACAGCAATTCAGAGCACTAGGTTGGAGAGAGACTGTGTTGTATATAATATGCACTTATACTTGTGGTTGTTTGAGATTAGCAGTCTGTGCTCGTAAACAGTTTAGTGAAAGACTGTATTGATGCTGCATTTACTGGCGTGCCTGCTGTTTGAACAAAAAACCCAGGTCTCCCGGCTTGGCTTGTTAGCAGTGCTTGAAGTACTAGATAATCCCTGTTTAATTTTTATTAATTGGAGACAAAGGTCTGTTACATTCAAACAGGCAAAAGTTTGCCTTGATGAAATTCCTCTGGATGTAGGAACCCTTGAGTGGCTGCTCTTTGTGGTGTGTATCAGTAAATGTGACTCTTCTGTGAGGTGTTACAACTCCTACGGCAATTCTCCCTTCCCCTTTGCAGGTGCTGATGGGCAGAGTGCCTGACAGAGGAGGAAGGCCCAACGAAATTGAACCGCCACCGCCTGAGATGCCACCGTGGCAGAAAAGACCGGAGGCTGGTCCACAACAAGGTGGCGGCAGAGGAGGAAGAGGCGGCTACGAATCCTCATATGGAGGGCGAGGAGGTTACGACCACGGGGGTCACGACCGAGGAGGAAGAGGAGGCTATGACTCCTCATATGGAGGGCGAGGAGGTCATGAACAAGGAAGCCATGATCGAGGGGGACGAGGAGGACGTGGTGGCTATGATCATGGTGGCAGAGGAGGTGGAAGAGGAAACAAGCTTCAAGGAGGTTGGACAGATGGTGGAGGTGGTGGCTACCAGGATGGCAGCTACAGGGAGAGCAACTACAGAGATGCAGGTTTTCAAACAGGTGGCTACCACGGTGGTGGTGGTGCTGGCGGTGGCTACCAAGGAGGAGGCTATGGTGGCTACCAGTCGTCTTCATATTCAGGAAGTGGCTACCAAGGAGGTGGTGGTGGCGGTGGCTACCAGCAAGACAACAGATATCAAGATGGTGGGTCCCACAGTGACCGAGGGGGTGGCCGTGGTGGAGGGAGGGGTGGCCGTGGTGGTCGTGGTGGCCGTGGAGGTCAGGGAGGAGGCTGGGGGGGCAGAGGTGGACAGAACTTTAATCAAGGGGGGCAGTTTGAGCAGCACTTCCAGCATGGAGGTTATCAGTATAATCAGTCTGGCTTTGGACAAGGAAGACACTTAACAAGC